GATACATCCCAAATATAGAGCCATCTATCCAACTGTCCATCCAGAGCCACCATTTATAGACCGGATACATCCTAAATATAGAACCATTTATCCAACTGTCCATCCAGAGCCGCCATTTATAGACCAGATACATCCTAAATATAGAGCCATTTATCCAACTGTCCATCCCGAGCCGCCATTTATAGACCGGATACATCCCAAATATAGAGCCATCTATCCAACTGTCCATCCAGAGCCGCCATTTATAGACCGGATACATCCTAAATATAGAGCCATCTATCCAACTGTCCATCCAGAGCCGCCATTTATAGACCGGATACATCCTAAATATAGAGACATTTATCCAACTGTCCATCCAGAGCCGCCATTTATAGACCAGATACATCCTAAATATAGAGCCATTGGTCTGTACACAGCTGTAAGGGTCACCATTTTTTCCAGACATATTATGATCTCAGATATTTGGACACAATAACTTCAACAACCTGCCCCTCAATCTTCCTATCTAACTGGTATTCCCATGAATCTCTGTGAATCACTTTGTATTTTTTCTCTGATATCCCGCCTGTTCCCATTATGTTTCTTTTACATCAGAAGGATTATGTGCTGTAAGTGACATTTCTTCTGCTTTCCCGATGGGTTTTGTGCCCTGGGGTTAGGGGGCGGGGTCGGGGGGTGCCTGTGATTTGTGCACACTTACCCTGGAAAGGTATTTTTCTTCTCTTATCTTATTCTGACCACAAGAATTACTCATCATATACATGAAACACACACGCAGTGCTGGCAGCTTAGCATGAGAAGGGGGAGCTATCCATGGTGATGCTGTACATCACCCCAGTGTATTATAAGCCCGTCCAGCAGCTCTGACTGTACCGCTCCATGGCTCATGAGTCATTATTCCCGGGGAGACATAAGTAGTCTATCTTTACCTGGGAGCAGTAATTAACTACAAGTCCCAGCATGCCCTTGACTCATTTAGGTTTGATCTGGGGTCTATGCATGATGGCAGAAAGGCAATTTTTGTCCCTTAAAAATATTTTAGGACCCCGACCTAGAGAGGCTCTGAAATGTTTAATCATGTTTTATATAAAATTGGCGCAGTATTTGGCACTTTATAGAGAACACGGAGCCATTCACATCAGCTCCTGTCCCCTGAAGGAGGTTTCCAATCTCATAACTCCGATACCCTTATAGGGGCAGTTTGGGAGAATCACACCCCAGTAGAGGAATCGTTTTAGCAAATTACTCTTTTTTTCTTTATCCCCCAAGTTGTGTTTTCCGGGGATGTATTCGCGGTAGTTTAGTTCATTCAGGGCCGGTGCAGACCTGGGCGATCCTGGACGGGTGTCCCATTGATTTCATACGCGTGGTCCCATTGATTTCAAACATACGTGCTGCAATCGCAGAAAAATGGTATATGTACCTTTTGTTTGCGACACACGATGTGTGACTGATTTAGCCGCGATCATGTTTGCTTCCACGGGCGGAAACGCTTCAATCCACCTGGCACGACTGGGGTGCCATTCGAAAATAATGGCACCCACAAATACGATCGGCGGTGGTGGGCGACGAAAATCCGCACGGTATCGTGCACGATTGCAGCGCCGTCACGGATCGCCCAGCTTGTGAACCTGGCCTCAATGTTATTGTATTTGTAGTGTTTTGTTTGTTACTTTTTAAATAATTTGACATTTTTAATGTACTCTTTTTTTCAGTGTTTTCTATTAGAAGGTAACAATGAGGATAACGAGGGGCCGTTTTTACATAGTTACATAGTATTTGAGGTTGAATAAAGACATTAGTCCATCAAGTCCAACCTATTAGGATCTCATTCTAGGAGTACCTGTACCCCTGTATATTACGTGTACCCCTGTATATTACCTGTACCCCTGTATATTACCCGTACCCCTGTATATTACCCGTACCCCTGTATATTACCTCTACCCCTGTATGTTACCTCTATAGCACAAGAACAACCCCCGGGAATGTTTTTAAAGAGCTCCTGTAACACGCAGGTGACATAATAAGCCCCTTGGACACTTAAAGATCAACTACTCCTTCCCCATTGACACAAAAATAGTGAAAAATTACCAAAATTTCTCAATTTCTGTTAAAATTCGGGAGAATATTTAAAAACCCGTCAATTTTGCCCCATTCCTTGTTTTGTCGGAAGAAGATGTAGCACCAATAAGAACCCTGCACAGACAAGAGCCGAACATTCATACCCAGGACTCACGGATGAGTGCCGACTCTTAGCTAAGGTGTCATGTGACCTGTATATGTAATCTATATTATCCCAATAATTAAAGCTTTAATCTCTGTATATTTGGTCCCTCCCTCCCCCCTTATTCAACATGATAACAACATTATTAAATAAAGCCATTCCATTTTTCACACCTGTGCATTTAA